TCCGTGCCTTATAATACACGTTATTAATTAAATGAGTAACTTTGCTAGCAGTATAGAGTGTACATATTGAGTCACACGAGGGGTGAGTTGGGTTAAGATTATAAATACAAATTACGTTTCCAAATAATAGGTATACGGGAGTTATCCAGAATTTAGCACCCATTTACGAACAAAAGAGGCGGTATGATCAGCAAAAAGTATTTGGAACATTTAAATTCACTAAGTCATTAATAAATATTAACAAATAATAATGGTTCCAAATTAGACCACTGACTGTGGGACAGATAATTAAGATTTGAAAAATTAAGGAATTTTTAGAAATGCTCATGCTGCTTAATTTAAATTTTAAAACTAAGTAATCAATGTATTCTCTAAGCCAATAGTAGAGGTAGAGGTAGAGGTGTTTTCAGTTTTCCAGGATCCAGAAACATGTAGGATTGATACTGGATAATAAATAAAGCTTACCTGGAATGCACACTTGGAAAAAGTGATAAGTAAGACGAGGCAGACATCAGGCCGAGTATGTATCTCATTTTATCATAATAACAGTTATGTTATTTCAGAGTTGTTAACGTTAACTATTAAGATATAACGTGCATGTTATTGAGGAATTAAAACCATTTTTAGCAAATACTCGTATTGCAATTTCGTTGTTTTTTGAAGACGCTTTTGTCGACATTTTTAATAATAATTATGCAAAATTATTATAAACAAAAGTCAGTATTAGATAAAAACACATATAACTGACAGATGTCTTTTAGGTTATGACACATGAAACAAATGCAAAGTCGTAAATAACGGGTAAGTACAACATAAAATAGTTTGTAACAAGTTATTTTAAATTATAACAGAGGTTTTTAAAGGCAAGGAATTTGGTGTTGCTATAGTTTAACGTAGGTGTTATTTGTCTAATGAAAATGAACTGAAATGTTAAATTTCCATTTACTTGCCGGTTTTATAAACGCACATTGAAGGTAAGTTGTAAAATTTAAGTAACTTAGGTAGTATATACGTACATATACGTACATATATACTACTATATAGTACTTACATGTACGTACGTATATGTAAGTATTTACCCTAAAATTATTGTTAGGTTAAATCAAACGAAGAAGGATCTAACAAGGAAACTACCCTAACCCGAACTCTCCGATTTCCCATATTTTTATATATGTTGTAGAACATAAAAAAATGACATATTTTTTTATCGGCGGAAAAACATATTTAGGGGGTGAAATACATCCTCAAAGTTCACCCCCAAAACAGTTTTTTCTAATTATCTGGGGTTCTAATCAATACTTTGGAATGAAAATAAAATGTAAATTGCTTCTTATAAAAAACAAATGTTTTACATTAGATTCCGTGTTTGGAGGCTGCTACCCTTATTTTTTATTTCAGAAAAACTATATTTTTCAAACATGTTTTATATATAAAAAAAATCATTAAAAAAAATTAAAAATATGATTTATGTAAACAAATTGACAAAATAAAGTTCTCTTTTTAGGGGGGTGAACAACCCTCTAGTGTGCTAAAAATGTCTGTACGATTAGAATTAACATTGCAAAATAAAAAGTTTTTACTTTTTCTCTAATCATACGAATAATTTGTTCTATTAGTCGCAAACAGATTTAAACGGATACAAACTACCCCTCATGTTCACCCCCAAAATATTTCTGTGACATCTCAATATTTTGAAATGAAATAAAATAGAAATTACTTCTTTTAAAAAACAAAATGTTTCACAAGAAATTTCGTGTTTGGGGGTTGCAACCCTTATTTTTTATTTCAGAAAAACTAAGTATATTTTCAAACATTTTTTATAAGTATATAAAAAATTAATATTGATTCAAAATATTAAAAATATGATTTATGTAAACAAATTGACAAAAATAATTTCTCATTTTAGGGGGTGAACAACCCCCTAGTAATCCCCTAGTGTGCGAAAAATGTCTTAGCTTTTTCTCTAATCATACGAATAATTTTTTCCCTTGGTCTAAAACGGATTTAAAAAGATGCAAACTACCCCTGATGTTCACATCCAAAAACAGTATATCCGTAATATCTCGGGTTCTAATAAATTTTTTTGGAATGAAACAAAATGGAAATTACTTCTTTTAAAAAAATAAAATGTTTCACAAGTGATTTCGTGTTTGGGGGTTGCAACCCTTATTTTTTATTTCAGGAAAACTAAGTATATTTTCAAACATTTTTTATATATAAAAAATTCATATTGATTCAAAATATTAAAAATATGCTTTATGTAAACAAATTGACAAAAATAATTTCTCATTTTAGGGCGCGAACAACACCCTAGTACTTCCCTAGTGTGCCAAAAATTTCTTAACTTTTTCTCTAATCATACGAATATTTTTTTCTCTTGGTCTAAAACGGATTTAAACAGATGCAAACTACCCCTGATGTTCACCCCCAAAAACAGTATATCCGTGATATCTCGGGTTCTAATAAATATTTTGGAATGAAACAAAGTGGAAATTACCGAACCCGTTTTTTGGGGGATGAAGAGCAGGGGTAGTTGATGAACAGCAGGGGTAATTTGCATCAGTTTAAATCCGTTTTAGACCGATAGAAAAAATTATTTGTGAACTATCTGTTTTTTTATAAGAAATAATTTCCATTTCGTTTCATTCCAAAATATTGATTAGAGCCTGAGATGTCACAGAAATACTGTTTTTGGGGTGAACATGAGGAATAGTTTGCATCCGTTTAAATCCGTTTGAGGCTAATAGAACAAATTATTCGTATGATTAGAGAAAAAGTAAAAACTTTTTATTTTGTAATGTAAATTCTAATCGTATAGACATTTTTCGCTCATTAGGGGGTTGTTCGAGAACTTAATTTTGCCAATTTGTTTACATAAGTTATATTTTTAATTTTTTTTAACAAATATGAATTTTTTATATACAAAAAATGTTTGAAAAATATAGTTTATTGAAATAAAAAATAAGGGTAGCAACCTCCAAACACGAAATCACTAATGAAACATCTGTTTTTTTATAAGAATTAATTTTGCATGTTGTTTTATTCCAAAATATTGATTAGAACCCCAGATATTTACAAAAAACTGTTTTTAGGGGCAAACTTTGAGAATGTACTTCACCGACATATTATTTAATAATAATAATGCAGAATTATTATAAATACCCGACTCAATATACAAAAACACATACAACTAAAAGAATTCTTTTAGGTTATGAAACATGAAACAAATCAACGTAGAGCGCAAATAACATTTACAAACGTTATTTCTAACATAACGTTTTAGCGTAAAATGTGATACATACTCGGCCTGATTGTATATATATCGTCGCCTAATCGGTAGAACCTGCGGACTGAAGCTGAAGATGTCACACTGGATCTATACTTCGATAGCAAGACCTAGGATTTTGTATGGTGACAAAAAACACAAAAAAACTCAGCGAGGGAAAACTGAATAAAATCCAGAGATTGGCCTGCTTGGGTATGACGGAGGCTATGTCATCGACCCCGACAGCTGCGTTAGAAGTCATGCTAAATCTGCCACCGATTCATAGAGCGGTGAAAGGAGAAGCGTGGTTAGCACCATACCGACTCAGGAATAATAAGAACTGGAGTCCTTATTCCAAAAATATGGAAATATCTACGTCAGAACCAATTCTGGGGAAGATATCCGACAAGGTAGTTCCAAATATTCACTTCCATAAGCCATTCGAAACTCAAATACAGGATCAGAGCAAATGGGAAGAAAAATGTTAAACCCTGCAAAGATGGAGCCTGGTATGGTTTAAAGATGGCTCCAAAATGACAAGGAGGGCGGGTGAAGGGATATAAGGACTATAAGCTATAGTCTGAGTAGGTTTCGTACTGAATTTTAAGCAGAAATTTTATCGATAATGGCATGTATAATACAGAATGTAGGTACATAAAGGTTATAAACAACTGCATCATACATATTCTGTGAAAGTCAAGCAGCAATTCAGACACACACACACAAGATAAGTTAAAACTTGTGTGGGAGTGTTTACGAGTACTGATTGAACTATTTCCTAGTGTGGTCAGCGGGCTCTGGGCAAATTAACTGAGTTAGAATATAGAAAATACTGGGCCTCGAGACCATGCGAAGGAACTTATGAAATATCCTTTGCAGGAAAAAACAAATGAGTTGCTGAGCTTAAATAAAACTTGGCTCAGGAAAGTGACGACTTAGAACTGGACACTGCCTCTTTAGGAAGCATCTATAGCATCTATATAAGATAAAGCTTGTAGACAGTTGTAGAATGACACTTCTGGGTAAACCCTTTTTGGAACCTAAGGAGCTGAGAGAAATGTGGGCAAAGAAACTTTTGGACTTTGTTAAAAGGATAAAGCTACTTGCTGAGTAGGTTTAAACTTAACCATATGAAGAAGAGGAAGAAGAAAAATAAGTGATCAATTTAGTCAAATGACATTTTTAAATCAAAACAAATAACATCCAACCCGTTTCTGACTATTTAAGAATTCAGAGAATGGTAGCGTTAAACTTAAACGTTAAATTTGGCATGCGGGACTATCTTTTTGATATCTACACATGTAAATTTTGAATGCTGTGTACATATAGTGAATAAAAAATCTGGAGTATCGCTGTTTTCTAAACTACATACTTGTTTATCTTTAAAAATTGTTTTAACAAAAGTTTTTAGAATATTTTTCTGCCCCTCGGCCTTTTTCAATTTTTCTTATCAGTTCATTGTCATGATGACGAATGTACCTATTATTTTATTTACGTCACATCAATAGGTCACGGAGAGAAGAGAGAATGTACGATCGAAGTAAATGTACTGCTTGTGTGACATGCCAATATAATTTTGCACAAAAATTTTGGATTTCACTTTTCACATTTTCGATTGTTTTATTACTGAAAAATACTATACTCTTATAGTTCTCACATTTCAGTATTCTATGCAGCTATAATAACAGTGCTATGTTTGAAACCTTCAGGCGAATGCTAAACATTACATACGTACCTTCATCACAGCTGTATTGTTTGAATTAGGAACAGCAAAAATAACCCATAATCCATTGTCATCCACACTGAAGTCCATATAATTATACTGCCCAGAGTATAGTCTAGACAATTTAGTGTTGTTGGTGGGTAAGTCCAGCGACACCATGCTCAAATTTTTCAAGTGAAACTTTATTATTCTGCTGGTATCCTTGACATTATAGAAAAAGGCTCCCTTGTATATCACGTGACTGTTGCCCCCGAAAGGATGATCCAAATGATAATTTCTAAAGGTATAAATAGAAATAAAACATTTAAATTTGAAGTAAATGGAAATATACATTTATTTCTCAGAAACAAATTTTATTTTATTATGAGATAGATTAAAAATTTCAGAGTGATCTGCGAAATATTGTTATAAAGAAAATATTTTGTTTATGCGAATGGGTATTAAACATTTCGAAGTATATTTTATAAACCAATGAAATCAAAAAAGTTTATTTGAAGAGATAAAATTTCAATTAGTATTTAGTGAATATTAAGTAGTATCATGTGCAAAAAGATAAAATTAAATACTTCAGAAAAACCTGAAGAAACTAGACCGAATAAAACGACAGTTGGATCAACAGATCTTTTACAGAAACATAGTTTATTCATGACGTACATCATGTACAGGGTGTAGTAGCGACGTTGCGACAAACTTTAAGGACTTATATATTATATTCCTTTCGTCAAAGCAAACAAAGGAGTAAGTGTAGCAGTTTTACCTAAAATAATTGCTAAAAGAACAAAAGTCTTTCAACTCTTGAAAGAGTAGAGGACATAGACCTCCAGTTTTATTCGGCGTGGAAATTGAAAAGGGCTCCCAAAAGTTATCTGAAGATAGAAATATATTTTCAGAAATTTAAAGATGATTTTCAAGTAAAACTGTTGCATCTCTTGAATTTCGTTTGCAGAATGCGGTTTTTATAGTTAAAAATCCAAAAGCTATTGCAATTTTAGAAGCGTTTTTAGCAAGAAATGTTCTGGAGTAGCAAAACATGGACGAAAATGTAAGTTTACATTTATTTGGTGGAAACTAGTTAGACGAACAGATTCCAAATTTCTGTAGATAGTTCCCCTGACTCTTGAAAAATATAAGTAAAATCATTATTATAGCAAAATATATTTAAAACTTCCATCCATATCTGAAAATATATTTTCTTTAACCAAATAATTTGTCTTTTTAGAGTTCAGAACCTCAGAACCCTCCTAATTCTGACACCAAGGAAATTTTGTTCTTATTTTAACACTGTATCAAATTTGAAGTGTAAATTTTCAAAGGTTCTTGAGTAATTCATCAAAAACTGTCCTCATTCAGTCTTTGAAAGATTATAAAATATTTCGGAATTATTTTGGGAAAAATGTTACTCTTATATATTTTTTTGTCTGATGAAGGAATCAGCTTCAGTATAGCAGTGCGCTATTACACACGGTATATATATATATGTTTTTCTCAATCAGACAGTAACGGACTAAACGACTATGAAACTGAACTAATTTCCAGAGATTTTATGTTGAATTTCGACGTTCGACATCCAATTTCGAATATTAGCTATTGCCAAATAAAACATTTCTACTTACTTGTTAGACGTGTCACTCCTAAACATTGTCTTATTGTCGTATTCGAAGAGTACGTTGGATTGGTTCTCATAGGTAACCCAAAACTTCTCGTGTTCCTTCTCATTAGGCGCGCTAGCAGGGTCCCGCATCCAAGAACCATAAGTGTAGTCTGTGTACCGGAGGTACACCGGTTTTCCAACGGCGTAGAGGACACATTCTTAAAGATAATTAACATTAACAGTCTATACTGTCTTTCTTGAAGATTATCTTTTAATTAAAGTGAGGAAATATCAATATACAAACAGACAACATACAGGGTGTTAAAAAAAGACTGTAAAATATTTAAGGAGGTAATAGTATGAACCAAAATAAGCAGAAGTCTCAATAAACATGGGTCCGCAAAGTAACGGTTGCAGAGATATTGAATGTTTTATGTTTTTTAGCCACTTTTTTTATTTTGCAAAAACGTTGTGTATTTTCTTATAATAGTTGGTTGATGTTTAGTGAAATAAACAGTACGTATTTGACAGTTGTTCTCAGTGCACAAGTTTTCTTTCGCTATGGCTGGTTACTCTAACGCAGAATTAACAGACATGCATTTCATATATGGTCGTGCTAATGGGAACGCCACCGAAGCGACGTCTTTATGTTGACGCTTATCCAAATCGCCAGATTCCTTCACAACGCATGTTTGGAAGAATTCACCAAAGATTGCGTGATACCGGTTCCTTAAGCAAACAATGCCATTTATCCGGAAGACCAAGGTCCTAGAGCAGAAGAAGAAATTCTAGCACTGGTAGAGCAGAATCCAGGTACGAGTGTGCGGAAAATATCAGCCGAGGTAGGAATTAGTGGTCCTCTTGTTTGGAGAATCCTTCACGAGCAACTGCTTTATCCATACCATGTGCAACGAGTACAGGCCTTAAATCCAATAAATGATCATCAAGCACGTTTGGTTTTTTGCCGCTGGTTTCTACGTCATGATGCTGAAGACCCTCGTTTTCTTGCAAACATTCTTTTTACTGATGAGGCCGGGTTCACAAGAAATGGAGTGTTTAATTTTCACAATACGCATATTTGGGCCGACGAAAATCCTCATACTCTAATAGAATCTGGACATCAGGCACGTTTTTCATTAAACATTTGGATGGGTATTGTAGGTGACAGGTTTCTAGGTCCTGTTGTATTACCAAACCGATTAACAGGCGCTGCTTACCTCAACTTTCTGCAGAACACACTGTATGAGTTTTTGGAAGACATTCCTTTGAATCAGAGGCAACAAATGTGGTTCCAGCATGATGGTGCTCCAGCTCATTTTTCCATGGCCGTTAGAGAGCATTTACACCAAACTTTTCCACATAGATGGGTAGGAAGGGCCGGACCTGTTTTATGGCCTCCAAGATCGCCTGATCTGAACCCTGTAGATTTCTTTGTTTGGGGATATTTGAAGACATTAGTGTATGGTACTCCTGTAAATAGCCTGGAAGAGCTGCAGCTACGGATTAATCAAAAGTGTCAAGAAATCCAAACCAAGGAGGGTGTTTTCGAAAGAATTCGAATATCGTTGAGACGAAGATGTCGTGCCTGCTTGGAAATGGACGGAGGTCACTTTGAACATCTTCTGTAACTTTGTTTTCTGTTTGTTAAAAGCTTCCTTTGTCGGTTTATTCCTAATAAAATAAAATGTTTGAAAAACAAATAGTGGTCCATATCTCCGCAACCGTTACTTTGCGGACCCATGTTTATTAAGACATTTCTGCTTATTTTGGTTCATACTATTACCTCTTTTTAACACCCTGTATATAGAAGTTTTTACTTGAAAATACATCATTTATGTCTTTTACATAAGGGGTCATCCATAAATTACGTCACACGTAAATGAGGAAGGAGGGTATCACCGAAATGTGACAATGTGTGACAAGGGGCAGGGGGTCAAAAGTTTTGTGACGTCACATGTTAAAATTTAAAATACTAAAACGCGAAATTTAGATGTGAATAAAAAACTATAAAAATCTACGAACTTGATCTATATTTATTAAGAATTTAGCATTCTCGCTATCTGAAATATTGGACTTTATGTTGATTTTATTAGATTATTTAAGTAATAAAAAATGTAAAAAATGAAAATAGCTGTTTTCTCTCGATTATGTTTAAATACATGCCTAAATTTAAAAAATGTGTGACGTCACATCAGGATGGGGGGGGATTATAAAAATATGACAACCTGTGACAAGGACGGGGGGAGGGGTTCAAAAGTCCTAAAATTCGTGTGACGTAATTAATGGATGGCCCCTAACAGAAATCTACATAAAATTTCTTGTAAAATTATATGGAGATTTTTCATAATGTTTCCGCTGTTTTTGAGACAGATATTCATGAGTTGATAAAAATAATTAGCTGTTTACAATATTTGCGAGGAACTTCATTTAACAGCGTTAGATGTGTCGCAGATTCTGAGATTAAGAACATGTACCAAAAGTTCCACTTTTACAATTACGTTATTTGTCAATCCCAAACCGCGAAAACAGTCAGAAGATCATATTATTGTATTTGTGTTTGTTTCCTGCTGAATAAATTAATTTATTTTCACCTGGTATAGGCATAGTTAGGGTTAAGTTGGTAAATCAACACAGTGCATGGAAAGTCGTAGCTGTCCGCAACGGTTTTATTACCAGGGTTAGACTATTTACTTCTTCTAGTAGGGGAAAACCAGAACAACGTTGTGTAAGAACTCATTTAAAGAGAGCTAGATGTAGCAAATGAATGGTGTAGTAAGAAAATACTGTTGGTCAATCCGGAAAAGACAATAATAGTATCACCAACAACTCCCAATAGATGGAAAACCCAGCAAGACGACTGGGTTTAACTGGAATGTGTATCCGAAAAAAAAATAGTAGACCAAACGAAGTGAGCTTTAAGCGTGAGTCAGTACCTAGATAAAACCTGGTGACTAAATGTACATACACGTCGATAAGTTTTTTATAGTAACGTATAGTAAAGATCAGATAGAATGATTATAAACTTCTCTAAACCTTTCAACAATCGAATAACAAATCAGGCAGAATGGGTATCGATATACACAGGAAACATGAAACCTAGAATGGTTTACGGATGTCTCCAAAATAGACAGCATAACAGGTGCTAAAGTGATGAGATTGAGGCCCAGGTGGTAAACAAGTTATAACCTTAGAGTCTTTTCTGAATCATTCAAGCTTAAATTTTCGTTATGTTATAAGCTCGCGTTTGATAGAAAAATTATTATTGGGACTACACATGTAAGTATATCAACGTATAGTAGAATAGATACTAGAATAAAGGCCTTAGATTAAAAAAAAAATGTGTGATATAAATTTGTTTGGAATTGCTAATTGAACTGGAAAACAACAAAGCAGTGAGACTATCAGCATTTGGTATTCCTTGCGGTACCGTAAAACAGACTTTGAGGTTCATAACGAACATACTGGAACTCAAGACTAAAGAAAATTCAAGTGAACGAAACTTGGACGCTGTTGTCTTGCGGAAGAAGGCAAATGAAATGCTGTTGTAGAGAAGATAAGATTTAGGGAGATATCAGGATTAGCAGGTACATCTTTAACATTCTGAACAAACGTAAGGATTTTGCACATCTGAAATTCTCTCTTTGGTAAACACTTCTTAATACGAGGAAATCAAAGACACATCGGCTAGCAGATTTTTTAATTTTGTACAATAACAAATCTACTAGACAAATAGATAGATACTGGAAAGCACAAAAGGTCAGAATTATCCAAAATGATTCGGGTTTCTTTAGACAACACATCTACATGTACCTAACGATTAATTTTGGGATTGATTTCAAAACGGCGTTATAAACAAATTGTCCCAGGATCAAGCAAAAGTCGCTGGGGAATTCGCTCTTTTTGCATTAAATAGAACTTATTTTTACAGCAATTAAAAAAAGGGAAATCATGTACGCCTCTTTGTGTCCAAGACAGCTTTTTTATGTAACATTAATTGTTAATTAACTATTGGATGTACCGAACCGGCATTTTAGAAACAATTAAAGAAAGAGTTAAACTTTTATTTTCAGAAAGTTTTACATTGATTGTTCATGTAATAAACGCACTAGCAGCAGTAAAAGTTAATGAACGGCCTGCACACGCCTACACACAGGAGCGCCAGGCCCGCGTATAAGCGTGAACGTCGCTCTCGTCGTACGCGAGATTTTTTACTTGAACGGCTCAAATTTGGTTCAAGAATATCGCAATTTTCGGAAACTGATATATCCGTATTCAAGCATTATTTTACAGTTAACAAGTTAATGAAAAATGACTCTAAATACCTTAAATTGTAGGTAATTTAATTGGCTACAACATAAAATAAAAAATATTCCGATAGGTTGTCTAGATTTTCGTGGGCAGTAAAAAAAGCGAAAAAACATAAATTTGATATTTATTTGCAATTTGCCAACTTAGCGTCACTTCTTTCTAGTTACTTTTTTGATGTTATCATCATTCTACATACCCTTTCCCGTCACAAAGTGCAATAGAATGTCTATTAATAATTTTTTCAAGTTTTCAGGTTTTATGATCTAATTCGACTGGAGTATGATAACATATTATCATATTATGGCACGGTCGATATTCATTCACATTTAGTATCCGAAAAATCACTGAAAATAATATGGAAGAGCGTTCCTTGAGAAAAACAAAGCAGAAGTTTTCCCTTCGTCTAAACGACTGCCTGCTAAACTAATAATAATAATTCAACGGCTCCAGCACACTAAAAAGTAATTAAAACGACAAAAAATCCCTTCTTTAGTTACCTAGAATGGTCGTTTGTAACTGGTTAGTAGTCCGGTCACGATCTCGGAATTGCTTATTGAAATGGGTAGAAGGAAATCCTCGGCGAATTAAAACACCTCACAGTTGACGAATAAAGAAATTATGGGGAATTTCAGCTCTTTTGGTAGCGTCAGGTTCTGAATATTCAGTCGAGGAATGATATATTTTTCTAACTTCTTTACTTTTAAGAATTTATGCGCTGCTATATTACAAATTTATTTCGCAATAATTATTTTAATGCTAATTGAATTTGGAAATTAATTACAGAATTTAATTAAAATTTAATTAGAAAATGTATCTCATTCAGAAACCTACTTATTCCGAAAAATTAATAGTTATTCTTTATACAAGAAAATCAAATTGTAATTTATCGACGAACGGAAAGTATTAATTCTCAAGCGACGAAATTGGTAATTAAATATTCTTTAGGAATCAATAATTAAGTTATAGGATCTTGTAATAACAGTAGGTAAATGTTACCACAAAAGAGGAAAACGTCATTGTTAATGTAAGTTACTTCATTGCATTCCAGTTGGTTTCTTTAATCTGACGATTTATTTTCAGTGGGAAATTTCCCTTTCTTCACTATCGAACACTTTGTAAGAGTTTACTTTTCATTCTCATTTTTCTAAAAGTTTTAAGTTTTTTTCTGTTAATATTTTTTATGTATATCAGAATAGAAGCTGACTGATGAGACAATTCCAAGTAAAATGTGGAAATAAAAAGATCTTCACAGCAGCTATTATTTTTGCGATTAGTCTTTTTCAAGGATGATAACAGGAAAACAAAAATACAGAATGTTTCTTTAAATGTATTATTTAACAATTACAATCTATCGGGATGTGTTTTAATATTAATTATGTTATACATATAATTTTCAGTTTTTATTTTGGATAATTTATTTATTACTGGTCGTTTACTAGGTATTAGTGTAGTGTAATTCAATGTACACCTAGATTTTTGGTATTGAAAATTTTGTATATTTTGTGTATTTTTGATTCATTTGATTATATTTACTATACAGGGTGATTTAGTCATAATGTCATTAATTTTAAGGGAAGATAGGAAAAAATTAGTAAAATACGAATACCCGATTAAAAAAAAAGCATTTTCAAATCATTATTTCAACCCCTTTTCGGACCGCTCCTGACCGCTGACGTACATCGAGAGTGAATCTTGACTTACCGTAGGTACTGTTCGGTCGCTAACTTAACTTTAATATTGTTAACATTTTCACTATTTTATAATTGAATAATATGAGTTTTTAGTATTAATTATTTGGTTTGTAGTACTACCACATATCTAACCCATATGCAACACTTAGAGAGATAGAGCTACTTTGTGCAACACGAATGGAGATACATCCAAGTTAAAGGGACTGAACGCATGCGTATTTCCCAACAGAACAGCTGTATGACAACGTAAGATGATATTTTCAGATTTACTATTATTTCGGCATTAAACAGAATAAATATGAAATACAAAACTTTAAGGATATATAAATTTTGTAGAGTAAAATAGAGTGTTTGATTATTTTGCCCATAAAATGATGCTACGTATGAACGGTTTTTATGTGCGAATTAAATACATTACCGATGAAGCCCGAATACTTCCATACCTACATGTTTTATCTCCGTGTGGTTTATGTTAGTGACGTTATGTATAAATCATATAATAGCCATTTTGGGCATTTTGTAAACATTGTTGCCGTTAGCTGTATTGAAGTGTTTTAAAAAGTGGTTTACAGTGGATTTATAGTTATTTATTTTTAAAACTTTGGCGTTTTTATTAACAATTTTTTGCAGTTACAAATAATGTCTAAATCAGTATCGGAAATGCAAGAAAGAAAATAAAAATATACATTTTTTCGGTTTCCTAAAGAAGAACAATTGTATGATTATTACTTTTTATATAGGTAATCTTAAATTGCTTATAAAAATTGTTTAAATATTAAATTTTTATAATATAAATTGTTCTTTTAGATGTCGATAGAAAAATGTGGACACCCAGAATTAATAATGCATGGATAAAACGATTTCAAATTTACATAACTAGTGTAATACCTTTTGGAAGTTAAATTGACATATTTTCTATATTCATTATTCAGTTAGATAACAAATTTGATTGCTAATTGTATTTGTAACTACCCAGAAAACACCATTTGTAATTTTTGTAAAGATGTACCTCCAGTTCAACATCCCTGTCCAAATTTTTCTTTGGACTATTTAATAAAGTAACTTGTAATTCTGCGAATTTACTACCACATAAAATCTATTAATAAAAATGTTAGTAAAACTCCTAATATAAAAAATGTAAAATTAAACATGTGTATAATTTGTTATTAGGTATTTTATTTCAACAAAAAATTAATGATGCGAACACTTAGCAATTTTATTTTAATATATTAGTTATCTAATTTATCATCCCGGTTAGACAGACACTTTATCAATTAAGTGAAAATTGTGATAAATGTAGGTGTAAGCATTTTATGTTCATGTTCATTCAATATTTCGAATTGGTAACACTTTTTTCAGATATCAATTTTTATTGTCCAATCTGGCAACGTTTAGCATCCAGTTTAAATGGACAAGGTCAACGACGGCATCTGTGCCTTATCAAAGGAGTGTCGCATATGGGTTAGATATGTGGTACTACAAACGTACTACGAACTGAATAATTAATTGAATATAATATTAAAAACTCGTATTCAATTATTTTAAAAGTGACTTATTGCTTTTCAAAGAATAGTGGTATCTACATATTTAAAACTTAATAAAGTTAGAATCCGGTGCACTTTGATTTTGAAATTAATTGCAAAATTCAACACGCACAACATGCGACAGCTGTTTCGTTCTAACTAGTCTACTTAACATCTTCAAAATCGTAAAAAATACTGATAACTCGAGTTACAGGATAATTGAGGATTCATTCGATTCGGGATGACTTGTACAAAAATGTGTTTAAAAATCGTATTCGCACATAAACAATTACAAAGGTTATAAACAAATAAAGATTTAAAAAAACTGGGTTCGGTTTTTTGAAAATAACTCAAAATATATGTGTTAGTTAGCGTCGATCTGAAAAAGGATCCTATAAAAATGTCCCACCTACCGAATCTCTATTTCATTGTTTATAACTTCAATTTATTGCTGAAAATAGGGCTTTTAGCGTCGAAAGCAATGCACGTACTGCACCGCAATAGCGATATAAGACATAAAAAATGAATGATATTAAATATTAATAAAAATTTTTAAAAAATTATCGTATTATTTAGACTTGAATAAAAAATATTCCGTTGAGAAAAACATTTTTCATTCAAAAATTTTAGAGTTCACGTTAGCAATCAAATTCGGATAATTGTTTAAAAAAAAAGCTGCTATTATTATTCAGCTTCGTGGAGACCTTTTGACAACTATACTTAATGAGATCACATTGCGATATCTTTAATAGTTATAACTCATTAGTGTTATTAATTTTCTTAGTTAACAAAAAATTAAACATTAATAAAAAGTTGTCAAAATATGTTTTAAGGGGAAATACTGTTGGCACTGTTTTTATGTTAGAAAGTGACAAAAAAAAAATTGACTAAAAATTTTTTAGTAATTACATTTGCTTAAATAATTTTTATAAACAAATGCTATAATCACATATTTTTTCAAAAGAACAGTTTTTTGCATTTGATTCTTTATGATTTTTTTTTTATTTTTAAATGTTTGTAATCGTTTTTTTTTATTTTATGGTTATTTAAATAATACAAAAACAATATTAAAATTCTTTTCTTTGTCTAAATTTATAATTTGCAATTTTCCAGAAGATTAGTCTTTTTTTTTGTTGAAAATTTATTTGTTTATTTACTATACAATTTGTTATATCTAGTCAATCGTCAAAAGTGCTATTATTGTTTTAGATAGAAAAAAAATAACAAAACCAATCATACATACCTAATTTTTTGTCAAAAAATGTTTTTTCTATTTTTTATAGAATTTTTTAGAGCGGCCATGCGATTTGTCTATTTATAAACGGCTATAACTTTTAAACTATTAAATATACAGTTGTGGAATATTGTAGACAACATTGTAGAATATTAATTCATCTTTGAGCTTTCGACCAAGTTTGTAGCTATTGTAGATAGTATGTTACATGAATTTGTTTATGAAAAATGAAGCTTTTCTTGGTATTATTCAGTCTTTGACTGCATATATCTCATAAACAATTGAAGTTACAAATATGATTTTACTAAGCAATAAAAAACCTATACAATAAATATTTGACTCAATCGAATAGTCGAATTTTTTAAACATTATAAGACTTTTTACTAAAAATCATGCAAGTTTAATTGTATTATTTTATTTTTTATATTCATCTTAATCATTTTGATTTTGTTCAGCTCATATTTATATTTCAATACTTAAAACGGTAAGTATTCTATTTTATTCCTAATTACCTTGGTGAATGCTCATTATCCTTGTACATCCATGATTACTTTTATGACATATAATGAGTAACTCACCCTTATTCCTGTCGCCAATGCCTCTATATGTCTGATCCTCATTATACTGCCGAACGTCCCACTTACTGATGAGATCGATCAGTGATACCCCGGTGGTGCATTTGTTGTCGCAGTCGGGGCATCGGATGGGTGGGCACAGATCGTCTGGAGACTTCTTGATGGGCGGCAAAGCACCGAAGATTTTCTCCTTCACCTGCTCGCCGCCACCACGGGGTGGGGGCATCCGAGGATCAATTTCTGAAAACAAAAATGGTGTAAACTATCACAGCCAGTGGCGTAACTTGTTTCTAGCGTGGTTGTGAATATATAGAAATTCAGATAAAATACATTTCAATTTAACTCTCACTAAATGTGCACTTGTTTATTATTTGAAGTAGGCTACAAGCAGATATTATAAAAAGCATGAATAATCTGTTGCTAGTAGTTAAAAACTTACCGAAAAGAGTGAATTCTCCTCTGGTCTTCTGCAGTTCGTTTTTGGCAATGCAATAGTATAAATACCGCATGTCCATCGCATTCACTCTGGTGATGTTCAATTGCATCCGAGCCTTGTAACCATCCTTCTCCAGCAAATTGTCTATTCGATATTTATCGCCGTTTTCTAAAAGACGACCGTCCGATCGCTCCCAATATCTGAGAAAATAACCATGTTTGTGATTGATGATGACATCAAAAGGGATGATGACGAAGAAAATATTGATTAAGATCATGATGATAATAATAACTATTATGATGGTGGTGATGGTGATGATAATTATGTTGATGGTCAACAATTAAAATAGAGTCAGACGAATATAGAAATGCTTGGTAGGAAGGAAACTTGTAAAATGATGAAATGAAAAATTTCAAGTAGTACCGACTATTTTAATGTAGACTGAAAATTAAATAAAGGGTTTCTATGTTTTTAAATTCTGTAAAACATTTAATTTACAATTGTATTTTTAAGCATAAAGTTTTATTAATTTTATTCGAAAAGTAGACTCTTTTAGAGTTTCGAAATATCTTCAATAAATTCCAAAAATTAAAATTATGGGTATAGAAATATAAGATTTACTAGAGTAAGTATTTAGATAACACTTTGTTATTCTCGTTTCATTCAAATTGCCCATAATAATGTTTTAAATCGAGGAAGAAATATAGAGCATAACAGCGATGTTATGGCAAACTTTCAGAACTGATTTAAAAAAACAAGATTAATATTTTTAAGACTGAGCATTTTGGACCAGTTGAACATGTAAAATTAAACATTTGAACAAAAACTAACTATACTCTCTCCAAATATATTTCAGAATGCGTCAATTGTATTTCAGATTAGTTAATGGTATTTCAGAAAGCGTAATTTAAATTTCATATTAGTTATATGTATTTTGGAAAGTAACAATTATATTTTAGAACAATAAGAAATGCAAATTGTATTTTAGATCTGAATTCTGGAAAGTATTAAATGTATTTCAGAAAAAAACTAAAATAAGTTTATACTTGCAATCCATTACAGATATCAAAATTTCACTTTTCACGTTTTGTACACTGTAATAAAAAAATCGGTTTGAGTGAAAGCAATAAAGGTATAGAGTGAATCTTTTAAGTATGGTAATTTTCACCGTTGTTCCTTTCATAACGCTGTATTGTCATGATTTTCGTAGACCAGGAAAATAAGCTGGGAAATGACCATTTCACGACTTTTTGTTTCGGCAAGCTGAATTTATAGTTGCTAAATATTATCATAAAAATGGGGGAAATATTGTTTACAGGGTGGTTAATTGTATAATATTTAAATTCACTTTTCTCGCTTATAACTTTTTTCCGTTCATTTCCACGAGAAAACAGTAATGACTTTTTTTCGTCTTAAAAAAATCTACAAAACTAGCCCTCGAACTACAAAAACTATTGATTACATCAAAAGTTATAAACAGAAGAAGTTTATTTATGACTATAAACTGCGTTATTATTACCAGAACGTTTTGGCATTGCATCCTCTCATTCCTTATCACTGTCTAATAACTCACACGAAATCTGGAATCGGTAAGTTGAATAGTTTACAAGTTATGGCCTTATAAATAAATTAACTAATTATTAGTCTTAACGATCCCTAGGATCTTCCACAATCGCACTGATTTGTATCATGATAGATTTCATAATAATACGTTGAAATCTATCATTTTTTTAAATTTCAAATTTGCAACCTGGATTTTTTTTATTTTTTAGCCTTAGTTGCAAAATGAAATATACGACGCACGAGCGTGATATAGTTACCTATATATTATTACATATTCGGAAAGCTTATGAAAAGAGCTTTAAGTTAAAAAGAAAATAGTCAAGATTTGTTGAAAAACAACGGAGTTACAGACTGTCAAACTTAACGGCCTATTGTTAAACAAATTAGGTTGGTAGCGGCAAAAAAGAATACTGTCACAACTGGCAACCCGAGTACTTTCCCAGGTAAAAATATTTTATTTGTGGAAGTATGTTAAGTGCATAAGAAATATTGTCAAAAGTCAGTGGGTCGCTTGATTTTCGGCGAGCCGTGGCGCGGCAGAAGGGTGGGGGAAGCGATTGACAGCGAGTCCGAAGAAAATGACGATAATATTCATAGTCAATTCCAGGTTGCAAATTTGAAATTAAAAAAAATGTATATAAATTTCAACGTATTATTATGAAAACTACCTTGAAAAAAATCAGTGCGATTGTGGAAGATTCTCGTTATCGTTCAGACTAATAATTAGTTAAGTTGTTTATAAGGCCATAACTTGTAAACTATTCAACGTAACGATTCCAGATTTCGTGTGAGTTATTAGACAGTGATGAGGAATGAGAGGATGCGATACCAAAACGTTCTGGTAATAATAACGCAGTTTATAAATGTTTAATTCAAAAGTCATAAATAAACTACTTCTGTTCCTGCTAGTTTTGTAGATCTTTTGAAGACAAAAAAAAAGTACTTTACTATTTTCTCGTGGAAATGAACGGAAAAAAGTTATAACCGAAAAACGTGAATTAAGTAAAAATTATACAGGGTGTAACGTAAAGGTTGGGAATAAATTAAACGGTTGATTTTTTATTTAAAAAAAAAAATAAATATTTGTCATATATTATGCTCTACGGGTTTTCTTTTCCAAGCTACAGGGCGCTAAAAATTTTCAAAAAATTTAGTTTTTTTTAATATCATTTTCAATGCAAAAGTCTTTTTTCAATGCCTATTTGTCCATGTTCGGTAGCTGAGTCAAAGCATACTTCATAATGTTTTTGTTATTTTCTTTTCCAATGTTGCTAACATTGGAAGAAAAAATGGTATTTACACAAGTTTTATTTACAGAAAAATAAGGAATAAAACGCAAGAGGATAATTTTGTTTAAAATAAAAAATATTAAAAAAATGTTTTTACCAGCAGCGTACCACAATTTTCTTCAAAAAACCTTACGGAACAATCCGTACGCACGCCACTGAGTAACTTACAATGTCAATCTTTTTCCTGTCACTAGGGGATTATCAAATTAAGCCAAGGTTAAAATTTCGTTCCATTATCTTATAATGTTCGAAAATTATTGGAGAAAAACTAAATTTTTTGAAACTTGTTAGCGCCCTGTAGCTTGGAAAATAAAACCCGTAGAGCATAACTTCATATGAGAAAAATTTATTTTTGAAACCAAAAAATCCACCGATTAATTTATTCCCAACCTTTACGTTACACCCAGTATAATTAACTGTACACTGTAAACAATCTTCCCCCCCCCCATTTTTATGACTGTGGAAACTAACTAATATGTTATTGAACATAATATTATTTATCATTTATAGTGATAAATTCAGCTTGCCGAAACAAAAAGTCGCGTCCAGCTCTATATTTCCTGGACTATACGGACGCAATGCGAACAGCACATTCTATGAGAAAAGTTAAGATGATCCAATATTTTTATTAGAAATTCTAGATCTGTAAAAAAATCAATTTTTGTATATAGGTACGTAGTTACTATGAGGGAATTACATTATACCAATATCAATTTTAATTGAGTAGTTGATCAAAAACTGTGTTTCACTGCCAGTATTTGAAGGATGCGTTTAGGAATTGTTTAAAAAAAGGTTCCTCTCTTTTTTGATTCAGCTACAAGAGGATATCAGATGGATTATCCCAAAGAGCAGAACCTCACGTGGGTCACGTGAAATTTGCTTTTTAATAATATTTTCTTTAAATTATAAGATTTGAGAACAATGTTTAGCCCAATTGTCAATAGTACATACGCTGCGACTAACAAGCGCCGTTGTTTGAGATTACACTAGTTTGCTTAGTGGCGGGGTAGGAAAATTATTAAAATAAGGTTTAAAAATATTTAAATTAAATAAAAATTTTTGTTTTCACGACGTAATTTGAAAAAAGAAACTATTGATACGTGTTTCTAAACGTCAAAGGTAGCCTTTCCCCCTTTCAAAGTTACACCCTATATACAATGAAACATTAGCATTGGATATTATACTATAATAACTTATTTTACGTTCGTTTCAGTTTCTCCTTAAAAAAATTGCTCAGGAAAACTTATCGAATCGACTCACCTAACTGGATCGGGGAACGCCTCCGTGTCGCACTCCAGCACCGTCGTTGATCCGTTGACGACGCCGACCATCTGATTTGCGATCCGGATGGTCGGGGGGACTGCAACCAGGCAGAATGATCGATTAGTTTTGTTGAAAAAACGACGTTTTACTTTGCTTGTCGCTCCCCAGGAAAAGATAGCAAATACTGTTTCTTTAAACCGCGACAGTGTTGTCCATTATCAGAATTGTTTTTCAGTTTGCTCGACACAATCGCATACGAGGCTGGTTTAAGTTAAATTAGCACTAGGCTTTTCATTAAAAACGATACAAAGTATTTTTGTCAAACAGGAATCTAACATCTCAACATTCTGAACGTAATTGCGTCATTGACGAATCTTGCTGTAATAACGTTCTAAGTACTCTCTTTGTATTCATTGTGTTTTACTTTTCATGAAGCCACACTTATATTACCTTATTTGAAATTGAAACGTTTTGAAATATTAATGCGAAATATTTACCTGCAAAGCCATTGTTCTCATATAACTAAATTTGATTTTATCATAAGCATCCGGTCGTAAAATTAAACATGAGCTGGGTTTTCCTAAAAAATATATTAGCGACTTTTTTTATATGGAATTCCGTATCCACCAAACTTGAATGAAATGTATTTAAAAGAGTTCGTAATAGGGTTTTAACTTAAAAACTATTAAAGTTGGATAAGCTTCACCTTCACCTACTTTTTTATAAGGGTATTCAATTCTGGAGCAATTTTTATATTTATTTGATAAGAAATATTCTCGAAGACTTTCACATTTATTGAAAATATTTAAAACAAAAAGTACATGGCAAAGGAACTAACAAATAAATATAACATTAAATAACTAAATAATTTTCTCTATTTCAATTAAGCAACTTCTTTTTTCTATGCATTTTTAAACCTTTCTATTCATTTTCTTTTTTTTTAAGATTAAAAAAGATTTCTCGAGAATTTGGTAACTTCATATAAAACAAAAGTAAAAGAAAAAGCTTATCTTTGAAACAAAATATGTGGTTGCTCATATCTTGAGTTCTTTGAAATACAGAGGGGCTTCTAGGGATGAGCAAAATTAGAATATAAAAACTTTTAGATAAAAAAATCGCTATTACAAATTTTTTAAGAGTTCACTATTATTTTTTTTAGAACCAGACGCCTATGACCAAAATCAAATTTGGTTGTACCAAAATAATCACTTTGCAAGTAACAATTTCATATTAAAATGCCAAAAAATTTAAAATGCCAAAGTATTTCGATTTAAAATAACCGAGATATCAGAATGGCTCTATAAAAAATATAACAAAATGAAGGAGGTTTCTTTTTAAATATGCTTAAAATTTTCTATCGTAAGGAGTAGGCTTATGCTTATGCCATCAAATTGCATTCGTTTCCTGATCATATAATAATTATATGACATAATAATAATTTATAAGATTTTAGTAGGAGTAAATAATTACCAGATTTAAAACAAAATAAGCTATTTGTTCAGCTTAATTCCTCAAGACTTTCTTCTGGTAACGATAGCGAAGGAAATGTCTAATGAATGGTATTTTAATGATCCTTATGATATCAAGAATTGTATGACACAAGTTCTGTAGACCATTCCACAGTATCTGTTTCAAAACTTACATGAAGATTAAACGGTGTGCCACTACATAACTTTGCTGTGACCACAACAACATTGAATAGTGAAATATGTATATGTAGCTTATTTTCAGTAAGGAGTTAAAGAACTTTATGTCACATTACTTGTTTGTAGTCTGTTATACGTTTTTTAGCATTTTTTTCTGTACATTTTTAGTGACAAAAAACAAGTAACTCTTAAATGGCTAATATATGTTGATTTTCTATAAGAATTTTCTTCTTACCAACTATATATTTTATCAAATAACGAAGGTAGGTAAGTATTTCAACTAAACAAAACAAAAATATATAATGCGTAATCGAAAACTAGAAATTCAATAAAATGTTACTCTAACAGACTTTAAATGAAAACTGATTTGTTTTAATTTTGTTCTGGAAAGACATGCTCAAACAAATTTTCAACTATATATTGTACCTTTTTGTTCAGATTTTTTTTTAATTGTTCGAGTTTAGAAGGTAGAACGTTTATACGGATTTTCAGTAATTTAATAAATAGTTATTTCGTTTACCGGCAAGGTACTCGAAAGAATACGGCACACCCACCATTTTTGCTTCAAAAGAATAGCCATTTTTTTTAATATCATGTCAGCTTTAGAAAAATTATGTTGTTCTTTAAAATCTATTTCTAAGTTACTCCTAGAATAAATTAATAAATAGCATTGTATTTTTCATAGACAAACACAAAAACTAACAAAATTAATGCTTTGACAATAAATATCATTCACCAACCACAGTTTTGTCTTCAAACTATTAGTTGTGTTAGTCACAATACAGAGACTCTCTACTATATTTATTTAAATATATATTATATATTAAAATAACCATTTTCCATTTAAAAAGTTGCGCGTAAAGTCGTATTCATTTATGAAATCATTACAAAAATAGACAGTTTTAATAAAACAAATAAATGAAAATAATATAAAAAAACGAAAAATAGTTTATATAGACAGACAATATAATTATAATTAAAAACAGATGTGCCCAATTGGTTCCTTTTTCCGAAAAAAATATTACCTATCCATTACGCATTACTTTTGCGTATGCGCTTATACAATTAAGAATAATTTGACATTCAAATGACAGTCTGAATCTTTATTTAAAGTGCTCTCATTGTTCTTATTTATTGACTGAATTAAATAACTTGAAATGACTACGTATTACTTACAGTATACCTCCAAAATAAATGTCTGATTGGCCTGTGGAGGTACTCCATTATCAGCTATGCACATATATTCACCCATATAGTCCCTATGGACCAAAGTAATATTCAGACTATTACCAGGGATTTGGACATCTGAAAAATCAAACAAAAGTTGCTGAAATATTTGCAGATTTGAACTTGACTGATTGCACTGTTTATTTAATTTTGCCAATTATAAACCGGATCTCCTTATATATAGAGTAAACCCAGGGGTGATGGCCTTAACTTTTTTCTAATGCTTCCAACTAAAAAGCTTAATTTAAACTTCAACAATAACTTTAATAAATTCTCTTTATTATTAACAAAATAAATTAGGTCTTTGACAACAAAAATATAATGTAAATATTATTATTCTGTTATATGTCACTGGCCAATTCCCTAGTATGTCTGGCAGTCTCGCCCATATAAAGAGAATTCAGATGACTACAGTTAATTTTGAAACCTCTTTTGTTTTATTTCTTCTTTTGTCCGCAAAAATGTCGTCGTTTTCGTCGTCATTACAAGTTTTGTGTACTTAGTAGGCACAAATATAGTACTCTTTGTCATAATAATTTTCTCCACATCCACTGCAGTTATCCAAACGGGTCTCAGTCTTAACTGTATCTGTATTGTTGTATGAGATATTCGTTTTCATTACTGGATTTAACGACACGTGTTGCTCTTCTTCCTTCATTTTACGCTTGCGAACTTCAATTGTTTTTTTATAAAGTGGAGAAATGTCTTGCAATAGTTTCGAAGGAAGATGCTCTTTAGGTGTACATGTATGATAGGGTATTGGCGAATGTTCATAGGAAATATTTGAACAGACGATGATATGTTAGGAAACAGTGAAAGTGGAAGTATTCCGTTAGATTTTCGCAGAAATGCATAACCTGGTATAGCTCTCCTCGTTGATGGAATGACATTGGTAGCTTGAAACCCAATTATTGCATTATCAAATGAAACAATTTTTACCTAAGTTTGATTAAGTAATTCTCAAAAATGTAGCACAATGGTTACAGTGTTGTTTGAACCAAACTCTGTAACTTTCGTAAAACTGTTTTTTTTAGTGATTTAAACGTTACTCGCAAATAATTCGAGATGGGATTGAGCAAAGATATGCGAATTATTTCATTTTTAGCAGCAAATTTCAATATTTCTCTAGATTTACAGTGAGTAGGATGTCCATCTTAAAGGAAGAAAACTTTTCCAGTCAATTTTATTAGCAAAAAATTAATTTTCATCCATTCTAAGAACATTATATATGCCGATTCTTGTAATATAAACAATATAGACCTGGAAACAATCCACCTTCAAACCCTGCTTTTCATTCGTTTTGGAAACAGAACTGGGTTTATTTAACAAATTATTGTCTTCCAAAATCTTTTTTGAAAGTTGGAAGTATGTATTAAGCTCGCGATAGTCCCTCGAATCTTCTCAAAACTGCGTCTGGTTTATTTCCAATTACTCTGCAAAAATACGACTACGCACGTTTTTAACTGCTAGAGAAACTCCTTAGGTTTGCGTAGTTCTAATATTGAAAACAAGTTTTGTTTCGTTTTGTGGTGCGAAAAGTAAATATGATTCTTCGCGACCATAGATATTTCTTGTTACAATTTTGTTTTAGTTTTATTAACTGAATAATTTTCATTTTTGACGGTATTTACTGTCGACTTTAGAGCAACCTCTGACTAATATTTATTCACAAAAGCGTTGAATTACAGTTGATTTGAGTTACATGAATTTTTATCCATGTAATTAAACATCCAGTGAATATTTTTTACTAACCATCTCTCCGAATCGGCCATCACTCCCTAGTTTACTCTACTAAGGGCAAATGAGTTACGTACACCTAAATGCAGTAACTATTTCTTATTTTTCTTACAAATTAGTAGTTTACTAGCGAGTACTATCAAATGAATATGATGAGCATTAATTTTTCTTTATCAAATTTACTTAATTGTGAATACTAAATGCGTCTTCAAACAAAAGGGAAATTAATTACTATACAAAAGTAAAACTGATTACTGGTTAAAAAAAATAATAATTTCAAAGAACCATGCACCAAATCAATGGAAAATGGATCTCGTCAACTCGCTGAAGTTGTAGTATATTGTAGCTTTTGGCCTCAACAAATGTTCTTTAGGTCATAAAGTCCAAAAATGGCTAGTTTTCGAGATACAGATGATCAAAGATCTTGCGAATTCATGTTTGAGACTTGATGATTGATAGACGACGCCTCTTTGTAAAATAAGTCCTATATGAAAGTTGCTGGGTTTGGAATAAGATTCCTTGACCTTGACTTTGATCCTTGATCAATATCATTTGACGATCAACTTAGAATTATTCATTGTTCTTTTTCTGAAGCTGCTGCAGCTTTTTGTCTCCGCAAAAAAGTTCTCGAGGTCATGAAATCCAGGAATTGCTAGTTTTCAAAAGAAGGAAATGTCATGCTAAGTTACTTTTGAGACTGACAGTAAGTTAGTTGATGAGTAGGAAAAGTGTATTTGCGAAAGAAATCTTTCACAAAGCTCCGTTTTATACAAACAGTCATAAGCAATAGACACCCTTAGAGAAAGAAATATTGATTTCTTATTTTAACTGTGTTATTCAGGAATGTAATCAAAATATAATAAAATACGTCATAAGCAATAGATTTTCAATTGTTTGGATCAATAAAACATTGATATGCGATTAACGTAATGAACAATGAACGCACAAATGTTTAGTGCTATAAATATTTAATTATTTACTTTAAACCATTAAGTGAAAAGCTTAACTCAGTGCTCAATTAACCAGATTACATAAAATTGGCGTGCAATCAAATTATGCACAATTTAAGTTACATCGAAGGTCATCTCGTTTAACAATATTAAAAAATTATAAAAGAAATACACAGCAAAATTGATTAAATTCAAAGAGCAAATAATAACGCCATGCAAAAAATAGTTTAGGTAGCAAGACTGTTTTCCCCCAACTGTTGATTGCGCCTACTTCGAAAAGTTGCTTCGAGCAGGATCACTGATGCACTGTCATTCTTCTCCCTTCACACCTTCACTCGAGGTCGCGTTATTCGTGTGGTAAAGTTTTCACCGTTTCTAGATTTCATGACTTGGAGAACTTTTATTCAGAAGGTCAAAAGCTGCATCAATAAAAAAGAAAAATATCCCATATGGATAATTCTGAGTTAACCTACATATGACCTTTAACCTTGACCACGGGTCAAAGTGAAGGTCACGTTAAGATACCTCACCCCAAACCCAACAACTTTCACTTAGAGCTTCTTTTACAAACAAGCGTCTCTTACCAATCAAAGGACTTGTTTATCTTGCAAACTAGCCATTTGTGGACTTTATCATCATGGGAACTTTTGTTCAGGAGGTCAAAAGCTACAACGTCCAACAATTTCAGTCAGTTCGACGGAGACCTATTTCCCACTGATTTGGTGCGTGGTGATCACTCAATAGTAGGCACTAGTAAAATATTTAAAATCCTCCCAAATATTCGAACTTTTTTGCGTCAATTTATGAAAATTTATGGAAACGATCAATATTTTTACCGTGCCAAGCTCCACCTCTATGAATGGGTTTGTTGTCGACCCTCTGCCAGGTGATCTGCGGAGTTGGTTTACCCGTGGCTGAGCAGTGCAACCGCACATTGTCCTCTTCATTCACTACTATCGGTCCCATAGGACCTGTGTGGGCACCTAGAAGGAAAAGCTCCGTTGTTAGTTAGCTGCTAAAATTGATGGCCATTGAAGTAATTATGTACTAGAAATAATGAACCAGCGACTTCACAAAGCTTCTAGTTATTATTTAACATATCAATATTAAATGCGCGCGTGTATTTTAATCAACGATATAGTTTACCATGTAGAACATGTAATTTTTAGATTTTTTGTTGCATAAAGAAAATAAAATGAAATGTTGGAAAATAAATTTGGTGAAAATATACAGGGTGTTTCAGAAAGACCTCCTGTAAATACAGGGGTGATAGAACACAAAAAACAAGAATTTTTTGTCTTATGAACTTCTCTTATTTTCGAGATACAGAGCGACAAAATAATTTTTTTTTAAATAGAATTTTTACGAAAGTTTCCAAAAGGTGGAAAATATTTTTATGAAATTTGGTATTCCGGGGTTTTTAAGGATGCCAAATACGCTGGTCTAATTACTTTTTTGGATATTTCATAGAGGGCGCTAGTTATGCTACATTTCTATTACATTTTAAGTTCTAATTTTTTTAAGGTTAGGTTTTTCACCATTCGGGCTCCAATTTCTAATGTACAATTTTGTTTTCTAAAAATAATGTACTCTAGTTAGAACTTCCTAATGTGGACGGTTTTCGAGAAAAAATACTTTTAATTAAACTCTTACAATATTACAGTGTATAAAATAAGTGACTTTCCTCAAAGTAGGCTTATGTCAAAACTTATTGATGGATGTCTCATAAACAACGCATACATTCTTAGTAATATTTTAAACTCCAATTAACCTTATTTCAAAATTTTTGTGATTGTTAGTGACTGTAGTTAGTAATAACTAATTACAGTCACTAAAATTTTGATATAAAGTTAATTAGAGTTTAAAATATTACCAAGAATGTATGCGTTGTTTATGAGATCTATCAATAAGTTTTGACATAAGCCTACTTTGAGAAAAGTCACTAGTTTTAACAAGAGTACATTTTATAAAATATAATTGTACATTAGAAATTGGAGCCCGAATGGTAAAATACCTAACCCTAAAAAAATTTGAACCTAAAATGTAATAGGAATGTAGCATAACTAGCGCCCTCTATGAAATATACAAAAAATAAATAGACCAGCGTATTTGGCATCCGTAAAAACCCCGGAATACCAAATTTCATAAAAATATTTCGCACCGTTTGGAAATTTTCGTAAAAATTAAATTTAAAAATTTTTATTTTGTTGCTCTGTATCTCGAAAACAAGAGGAGATAGACATATAGTTCATAATACAAAAAATTCGTATTTTTTGTCGTACTTCACCCCCTGTATTTACGGAAGGTCTTTCTGAAACACCCTGTATACGATCTTTTAATAAAAATCTTGTTGAGAACGTCTATCTCATTGTGGCATTTACAAACAAAAGATCAACTGTGCAGCGTTGAGCGTTACATACAACTTTTAAACTTATTAATCATTTTTTGTAAACGCTACGTGAAAAAAAATTTCAAATATCTTAATAATGTTTATAACCTCATGCTACAACAATAAATAGTACGTTATATACTTACAATTAGATTGAGAAGTGAGCTATTATTTACCGAGCATTTTTATATCCTGAGGCGCGTATTTACTTCATTCCGTTTATGAGAAGTAATGTTTCTCTCCCCAAGTAAATAATGAAATTGAAAAAACGCCTAGGTAAATAATGAAAAATTTTCCGTATTTTTAATGAACCGAACAGAAACTCTTATTACCTTAATTCTAGGTAAAAAAATAAACTCGAAAATTCTACACTGGTAAGTGGGATGATAGAAATTATAAAAAATTATTTGAAATAATTATAGTTAATTGTACAGTTATGACAAATCGTGTGTATTACTGCATTTCCTGTAGAACTAACATTTGTAACAGGTATACAGTGTGTCCCAGAAGTAACGCAAAAAATTATTTTATTTTGTGTTGCATTTTCACAAAAACGCTAAAACACGTCAATTAGTAAATAGGAATTGTCATTTTGTCACGTTGCTTAAACCTTTTTTGCGCTATGTTTCATAAACCTATGACGTCATCGACATTTTTTTTAAATAGCACTACCTAATTTTTTAAGCATAAATGGATAGTCCTTTTGAAGGGAAATACGTCGATATAGGGTTTGGCCTACTTTACTTTGACAGGAGCGAAAAAAAAGCCAATGACTGGAATGGACATGGTTTAAAATAACAACAAAAGTAGGTATCATAAACTGATGCGAGAACAGTGCCACAGTAAAAAATGGAAATTTGGGGATGTTTTGTGTTTTGGTTGATTGTAGGTACGTTTTTATGTATTGATATGTTGGCGTTTTCGGCGATACGACGAATGGCAGTGTGTGGATTTTCAGTGACAGCTAAACATAACATTTTGCCTATCATTTTCTATCACTGTCGTTGGCCTTCTAGATCTAGACAGATTTCTAACATGGCCAGCGTCTTCAAATTTGGGTACTAATCTGCATACTGTAGACGGAGGTATTGGTTGTTCTGGATACTTGGCATTGAATAATTGACATACTTCATCATAACTACGGATCCTATCTCCGTATCCAACCATAATTAGGATTTCAGTTCTTTGTTTCTCATTTAAACACAACACCATCGTAATGTAAAGTTATGGTATTTGTAACTGTCACAATGATATGAGGCACTATTGCATTCGCTAACTGTCGTCTTCAGAACAATGCCTACATAGCCCCTGTGATCGGGTGTACCTACCCAATCTACATAAAAACATGTGCCTACAATCAACCAAAACACATTTTTTGCTATAGCACTGTTCGCGAATAAGTTTGTGATACCTACTTTTGTTATTAATTCAAACCATGTTCATTCCAATCGTTAGCTTTTTTTCGCACCTGTCAAAGTAAAGTAGACCAAACCCTATATCGAGGCATTGCCCTTCAAAAGGGCTATCCATTTACGCTTAAAAAATTAGGTAGTGCTATTTAAAAAAAATGTCGATGACGTCATAGGTTTATGAAACATAGCTCAAAAAAGGTTTAACCAACGTGACAAAACGACAATTCCGATTTACTAATTGACGTGTTTTAGCGTTTTTGTGAAAACTCAACACAAAATAAAATACGAATTTTTTGCGTTACTTCTGGGACGTACTGTATTTACTTCTGTATTCTGAATATTTTTCGTATTTTGTGAACATTCATTGACACATCAATAAATCAACCAGTAGCCTGGAAGTTTTTTAGGACAGCATCTTGACGTGCAAAGAAAGTGGAAGATATACTTAAATTTTCATTGGATAAGGTAGGTTTTTGTACTAATTTAGCAATTCTCTTCTTGTCATTTATTGATTCCTTAATATATCCTTCAGCCACTGTAGCCGACTTCCACCCACCGTGCCTTTTTAAGCTTAGTAAGCCTCCTCCATTTTCTGTCAGAAGTGTTGCAGAACTGCGCCTTAAAGAATGGCCAGTACAACACTTAGGACTTTATTTCAAATATTGTTCCATGGTACTTTAATAATAGTATTGTGTCCAATATTTTGTTTAATATGGTTACCTCTTCGGTATAAAATAAAAAGTTTTCTAATTTCAGTCGGCCTGTTAGCTAGGTATTTCTTAACAACATTAATCCGGTGTGGCTCAACAATAACAAACTTCCTAGATGTTCAATTCTTTGAATTAGGAATATTTATTACAATAATATCTCGGATGTCTAAATCATCAATAACCTTATTGCACAGTTCATTCATTTTTTGTGTTTACAACCATTATTTTTCTGTTTTAAGAATGCTGTTAGTTTAAAAAAGTTTGAAATGTCAATGTTTTCCTTTATTGTAAGAATAGCCTTTAACATGGAATAATTTGCCCACAATGTGATACTTTTTTGCAGTCAGCTTTTTCTTTGAAATATACCAATAAAACATTTTCTATTATTTTAACAGCTTTATTTATTCACACCATAAATTGAGTACATTCTCTTCGATTTTTCTAGCAACAAATCACTACTTACACCTATTGCTGCACTTCTAACATTAAGTTCACTGTGGACCCCATACTTCCATCTCTATATCACTGTCACTAAAATTTTCACTCATTTTCCAATTTTATTCACACGTTTTACCTAGAACTTTTGGTAGCGTCTATTTTCTGGAAAATGACATTTAAAATAACTATATTGCATTAATGCAATCGAAATATTAGAAAAAAACCAAATGACTATCAAAATCTGATAAAATCAAATATGACAATACAGAGTGTCTCATAATTAGCTGCCAACCCTGAACAGGGTGATTCTATGATCAAAACTAAGTAAAAAAGTTCATATGAACATGGGTCCGGAAATGTTTCCTAAGGGCACAGGGACCCATTGAAGAGGGAGGAATGGAAATCATTTTTTTTGCAATATCTCTCAATCGCGTTGTGATAAATGAATGAAATTTGGTATACACAGCTAAATTTTGATGAACAATTTGATGGACTAATCCATTTATTTCCACAAGGTCCATTGGGGTGGGTACGGGGGGCCCTTGGTACTTTGCGTGTGTAACTTTTTCATCTTTGACTTTTTAACAAATTGGACAGCAATTTCCGTTTTCCCGAACTGTTTTACGTTAAAAAGGTACTCTTGTTTCAAATCGTTATCTTTAACGGTTTCTGAGAAAATCGCTCATTTCCTCTCTTTTCCATTTAAAGGATTAATTTTTATTTAATTTAATTTTTTATTATTATTTTTTTAGTAAAGTTAGATTAAATTTAAACAAAAAAATTTTTTGTTTAAATTACTATGAAATTGACCAAAGTGGGATTAATTCAAGAGCGATTTTCTCAGAAACCGTTAAAGATAACGATTTGAAACAAGAGTACCTTTTTAACGTAAAACAGTTCGGGAAAACGGAATTTGCTGTTCAATTTGTTAAAAAGTCAAAGATGAAAAAGTTACACACGCAAAGTACCAAGGGCCCCCCCGTACCCACACCAGGCAAAATAATCAAGTTTTTTTAATAATTTTTTTAAAATAT